TTTTTAGGAAACAGCCAATATTAGTAGTGGTGACACCATGGCCCAACACACACATAAACATGAGCAAATATTTTACAGCACACTACTTATTCTTCCTGACATTTTCTGTCCTAGCGTCTGTCTCGCTTTTATAGAAATGTTGACTATGAGTCTCGGAATCATGTGAGATCACCAATAGGTTGTTACTCATAGTTTGAAAATAAAAAATGGTGTCCATCCATGGACAACCACTGCCATGGTGCGGCAGGACCTGCTATTACTGGTGGTTAAATATAAAATGCATAAAAACACAATACATTTAAGGTGTTTTTGGTCTAAAATCTCTCTGTTTATCTCAACAATACAATAATAATACTCAGCACCTTTAACTTATTAACCACCACAGTCTTTGCCAGCTATATATCAGACAGATTAATATCTAGAATAAGTACAGAATTGCAGAATTAAACAATTTAATTATCCGATTCAATCACTAAATGTGCTAATGGACCGAATAGACAGATACTTCTCAACAGAAAAATACAAATGACTAATAAATATTTTTTATAGTGTTCAACATTTTTAGTCATCAAATTAAAACTACTTTGAGATTTTATCTCACCCCAGTAAGAATGTCTGTCATTAAGAAGACAAATGATAATAAATACTTATCAGGGGGCTGGGAAAGAGGAAGCCTTCTTCACTGCTGGTGGAATTGCACAGCCACTATCAAAGTGAGGATGGGGGCTCACCAAGAAGCTAAAAGTAGAACCACCATATGAGCTGAGCCTGTAATTCCTGAGTATCTCCCAAAGGAGTCTAAACCAAATCACCACAGGATACTTGCACATCCACTGACTGCAGCGCTAGTTACAGCAGCCAGAAATGGAACAGCCTGCATGTCCATCAGCAGATGCATGGCTAAAGGAAACATGACACATGTATAACAATGACATTTTTTTAGTCGTTAAGAAAATGAAGTCAGGACATTTGCAGGGAAGTGGATGGAACCTCGGGTCAATATCTTAAGCCAATTAAGTCAGACTCAGAAGATACTATATGGTTTCCCTCAGGTGAGAATCAAGATTTAAATGTGTGTGGTGGGGGTTGAGGGTTGGAGGCCAGTAAAGGAAAGGAAGAACTCGTAAGAGGGAGAGGGGAATGTGGAAAAGAGAGGACAATGGAATTCCTGTGGTAAGAAAGCAGAAGGAGCCAGGCGGTGGTGGTGCGCACCCTTGATCCCAGCACTGAGGAGGCAGGGGCAGGCAGATCCCCATGAGTTTGAAGTCAGCCTGGTCTACAGAGCGAACTCCAGGACAACCAGGGCTACACTGAGAAATCCTGTCTCAAAAAGTCAAAGCAAGGAAACAGAAGGAAGGACAATTCGCGGTAGGCTAGGGGTGGGGGAGGACATGGACACACACAACAGGGACAGCAGGAATAATGAGGGAGGGGTGAATAAGAACGAATTACAGTGACTCATGTCTTAAAGTACCCCAATGAAACCCTTGGCTTTATGTTCTAACTTTAAAAATAAATAGAGCAAACAAGAGAACCAACTCCAAGCTGAACTGGGTTTTTCCATTTCTTAATGTCAGAGGCATTTCTCCCTGCTAACTTTGCTTTCAAACTGTTATTGTTATTTCCTTACACCCCCCCACCCCATCCCCTACCCTGCATCCTGCTGGTATAAGTGACCTTTTCAGTTTCTGGCCCACTATGTCCCAGCTTGTCTTGAGCTGCTTCTGAGGATACAGGTGTTAATTATCTGAGTGACAAACCCTAGCTATTTACATACAACAGTAAATTCGACTTAGTGTCCCCCAATTAAGCTGGATTTCCTGCTGACTGGGACTCTAGCCCTCCTTTTCAAATGACAGTAAATTTGCTTTTGAAGTAAACACACTTAAGGGCTCTTTGAGTGCTCATTATACTATCACTCATTAAAGGTTAGAATCTCTAATTGATTAAACGACCTGATTGCCTTCATTTCCTCGGCTGCAATGCTGAAGTACCACAAGCTGCAGCGTTGAAGACAGCAAAGAGAACTGAAGGAACTAGAAAGGAGTCCTTCTTAGGCTTTTCCCAGCTTCTAATGGCTGCGGTTCATCCTTGACATCCGCAGTGGTCTGAATGTAGGATGTCCTCTGTAATGTCAAGTATTTGAACACTTGGTATTGGTATCCAGTTTGGGGGATTCTTTCAGAAGGTTGTGGAACCCTTAGAAAGTCAGGCCTCACTAGACCAAATGGGTCACTGGAAGGTGGGACTTGGAGCTACTTCCTGTCCAGGCTCTGCTTTCTGACTGTGCATCCAATGTCCTCACACACCCGCTGAACAGCATAAAGAAAGCCACAGGCTAGAAAGCACGCTCTTGCCCGCAGAACTGAAATTAACTCATTAAAAAATGTATGAGCAAGCCTCTAATTCTGTCTTTGATCTTACTTTCTTTCCTTCTTAGCATGGGGATCTAACCTGGGGCCTTACGCATGCTAGGCAAACATGCTACATTGAGCAATACTCCCCTGCCTTCTGAGTTTTTTTTCAAGTCACACACGTGTCTAAAGGGAGTGCCCCTCAAATTTAAGTGCACATATGGATTCCTTGGAAATCCTGTTAAAAATACAAGTTCCGCAGCCAGGTGTGGCAGCCTATCTCTGCAATACCAGCATGGAAGGCTAAGTCAAGATGGTCACAAGTTCAAGGACAGCCTAGGCTCCACGGTCAGACTCTGTTTCAAAAGCAAATAAAGAGAATGAAATTTGGGTTCTAGGATGGGCTCAATAGTGTAGTGTTTGCCTTACATGGGTCTTAGGTCCAATCCTCGGTGACTTCTTTTTTTAAAAGCAGGGAGCTTGAGATGAAGCCTGCTAGGGGTGACTGCAACTAGTTCAGAAACCATTCCCCCACCCCCCCAAAAAATGGTGATGAAGCAAAGTTTCAGTCGGGAAATGGGAATGGGAATGTCATTTGAGATTTCTTTTACCAAACCTGCCTTACTATCTGAATACGTGAGATGTAAGACGCTACTGCGGCTTCTATTTTACAGTCTGAGTTTACAGTTAGACTTCTAGGGTCTTTGCACAGGATGTTCTGTGCTGGCTGATGGGGAGGGAGCGAACTGGTACAGCGCTTTCCTCCAAGCACCACAGCCTGAGCTTCTGGCCCAGAACCCAGGTAGAAAAGCCGGGTGTGGCGGGCGTGGTTTGTAATCGCAGCGCTGAGGAAAGAGATCCCTGTGACCAGGTTGCCAACTTGCCTAGACTCACTGGCGAGTTCCAGACCAGTGAAGGACTGTGATCCCAAAACCGAAGTGGACAATAATACGCAAAGTTGATTTCTGGCCTTCACACAAACCGCAAATGTATCTGCACACACACAAAAATACTATAAATACATAAATAAGGAAATGAAAAAGAACTCTCTTTCTGTAAAGTATTTTATTTTATGATAAAGTTTTTAATATATATATATAATATATATATATAAAGTAGCAAGACCTTTGGTAGTCCTCAGAAGGGAATCTAGGGAGACTAAGTCCCTAAGTCTAAGACTGAATCAACGAGACTTGTAGAGATTGTCTACATAAGACAGTAATAAGATCCCTCTACCCAACAAACAGTTCCTGAGACTAAGTAGTAAACACAGCTGTATTAAATACAGATGTGCTGGAGCCCATTTGAATTGCAGGTATCTGACTATTGCTGCTGAAGCAAGTCAAACAGGTCCCAATAAAAAGCCTTTTTTTTTTGTAATATTCATCCTCATTCTTTGAAGAACACCTGTCATTCCTGCATCAGAAGTGAAAACAACCCTCCATGAAATACAGCTGCTTCTGGGACCGGGAGACCACACAGTAGCCTCCCTAGTAGATGGCAAGGCTCCTGCAGGCCCAACTGGGTTTGGCTCCCATCTAACTTCTTGCTTGGCAGCGCTGTTCGGTTTCACCACGGGGGGGCGCCCCGCCCCCCCCCCCCCCCCCCCCCCCCCCCCCCGCTCGTCTTGTTTGCTGGTGTTCCATAATGTGGTCTTAAAGATGTTGACCCCAAAAGTACTTTTCAGAAGACGTTTGCCGCCGAGATTTATTAAAAGGAGAGATGATTGCGTCACAGCTTTTGTTTCGCTGTTTCGTGAAGCTGCTGGGACACAGTCGTGAGCTATGGGGATAATGGGAGAAATAAATCCTCGCAGTTCCCTGCTAATGCTGATGGATGAGCTGGTGAGAGTGAGGAGGTGTCCAGGGAACAAAGCCAGATTTTAATGGCACTTTAATTCTGGAAATTTAGAAGACGCTAAAAGTCAGAATGGGTAAGAAGTCATTCAAAAAGCGAGCACGCTTTCAAGGAAGAGCAAGGATAAATCCGTCCTGAAACTGGCCTTTGCCCTGTGGGACTTGAGCATGTCTACTTAGGATAGCATTTTGTCTAAGAAAACAGTTCTGGTAAAAAAACACCGTCTGTATTTCATAGTCTTTTCACGTGTCTGGTGAACCGTTTAACTCTATCACAACTGTTGGAACTCTATCAGAAAATGTTCCCCTTTACAAAGCCTAAAGTTCTGAGTAGACTAGTTTCTTCCTATGAAGAAGCATTTTTTAAGATAAGTCATGGTTAATGCAAAGGATGGCTCTGTCTTCCAGTTCTGTAAGAAGAAGATGTCGAAGCTCCTGTCGGAGCTGCTCAGACCCCCTGGGAACCTTGGTGGGAAGCTGGAGCACCCAGGGCTCCCCCGACCCTGTAACAAGCAATAGTGAGAGTGAGATACCTCTGGACAAGCGGTCCGGCTGTAGGAACCGCTCTCTGGGCTTCTTCTGTGTCCCCGACCTGTCTCGCGTATTACAGCTATTAATCTGTTGCCCCTGCAAATCCTTTGAAATCCTTCGGTGGCGTTTACTCCTTCCAGAGGCATCCTCAAGCTTTGGTAGGCATCAGCCTCACTGGACAGAACAGCAAAAGCCAACAAAAACAGACTGCTGAGAGTCTCCTCGGTTTTATTCCAAAACAATTAAATAGGACCTGGGAATTCAGCTTTCCAGCAACAGCACATCACACACCATGATGCTGATCTCCTGGTGCTGAGCCAGGGAAACTGGTCTACAGATGGAAGCTCAGCACGCTTGCTTTCTTTACATCATGTGCCCTTTGCAATTTGCATGACCTCCCAGAAGTACCCAGCAAAAAGACAATGCAGACCTTCCCGTTCCCCAGGGCTTTCGTGGTTATATGTTGTTCAAATGAGGGCAGAATCGTTCACATAGAATATCCGGACTGGTATCCTCTGGAGTTATGCAGTGCACAGTCTATACCCTTGAATGTAGCAGAGATGAATTCACCTCCACACCATGCTCCTTAGGGATTCCTTGAACCACACAATATTACTTATAATTTTCTGAGCAAGCCATAATTTGGGGAGCCTTAGCGCCATTGTCCTCTCCTCTCAGCCTGCCTTGAATTTGCTCTCCTTTTTGAATGGAACTCTCTACCAAGCTGTCCTCCAAGGCTTCCCCCTCAAAATTACTTGTGATTATAATTGTACTTAGGTCAAAGAAAAAGTCACTCCAATACAAAAAGGAAAAATATTACAAAGTTTGGATAGAAACATAAATAGGCAGAAATGCCAAATCTTCCCGTTAGAAAATAAAACATAGTCAAAATATTTTCTAATTTCTTAAATTTCCATGAATTATCTTTTTAAAAAACTGGAAAGCTAGTACTAATGAGACCAGTGAAGAAGGCTTCTGTCCCTTGTCTTTATTTTGTCCTAAATCTTCACGTGTCTGAGATGTTGTTTAATCACATGGTATTTTAACAAGTTATGCCTGCAGATGTGTATTTCTTCAACAGACTATGCAGAATTTTTTAGTTTGTACTTTCACACATTTTTCAAAACTTTTGTGAGGCTTTATTTTTGGTCACATGAGACAATAATTGGCACAGAGATATATCAAAATATGTGTATAAGTGTTATGAGACAAAGAGTTGATTTTCCTTAATGATGTGACTCCCCCCTGGGAAGTCAGCCACATGCCAGGGCAGGCATCACTTGGAAGACTGGTTGAGTAATACAAACTTGACTGAATGGGCAGAAAACTCAAAGTTGGGTTTGAAAGGAGGGAGGATTACAGAGTGTGGTTATAGGAGCTGAATATGTTTAAAAGATATTGTATGAACTTCTCTAAGAATTAATAAAATACTTCTAAAGGTAAAATATGTATATATCCAAATCTGTTTCTAAAACATAACCTGCATTATTTATTACTATCATTAGCTTCATATCTTTCGCACAAGCCTGAATCATGCAGATCTATACCTGCAGCTATCACTGTGTGAACCGATAGCATTACACGCAAACTCATCAACATGCCATACAGAATGAGTACTGCACTTTTCTTTAAGCAAATGTAGCCTTCCATAAAAGTGACATCCACAGCCAATATCTAGTCAAGAGCAGGCTTCTTAATGAAAAGGGGTTTAAAAAAAGGAAAGCAATCTCCTCGGTGTAATTGAAGAAGAGGATTAATAAAAAAAAAAAAGTATAGATCTTAAAACTAGGAAAGGATTATGTTGTTGAACTTGGCACCCTGCTCTGTTATCTAAAGTGGACCATTTCAAACAGGAATTTCTATTTAAGGAGGAAAATGATTAACAGCAGTTCAAGACTTTTAGACTGACTTTGGATTATGCAGAAGCCAGCTAAGATGACAAAACCTTCGTCATAGCCTCTCATAGTTAGAAAACATTTGACTTTCTTCCATTATTTATTAACATTTGTATCTGTTTTATACAAAGTCTTGCTATGCCTCATCACCCTACTGCTCCAGCTTTTTGGAATCTAGAACTACAGGGGTTCCTACCATTCTTGGTTAGAAAAATCCTTAATTCTTCAAGGGTCCATTCTCATTCCCTCCAGCTCTATGGATCTCTCCCTTTCTTTTTTTATGGGGGGTAGGATGGGGGTGGGGGCGACTTCTTTATTCAAAATACATTCACAAAGTGCCTGCTCTGTTCAACGCCGTATGAATTTCCACAGAAGACTGGTAATAATTGCCATTAGCCTGAAGCCTTGTTTGAGAAACAGAGTTGTCTCCCATGGGCTTGTCAAATGACTCTGGAGAGCGGTAAGGCTGTATGCGTGTGAGGGAAAATGAACAAAAGTCGGGCAAACTTGAGCTGAAGAGAGAGAAGGTTAAAGACAACTGAGGGCCGAGTCCACTGAGGGCAGAAAAAGGATTCCCCAGAATAGGAGGTTGATGTTGCTTGTCACAGAGCGCCACCGTTACACACCTACACCCCAGCTGTTCATCTTCAAGTCCCTCAGTTTCTTCTTCTGGATACCCAAGAGCAGAATGATCTAGTTGGGCGCTGAGAGATGGCTCAGCTCTTGAAGAACTGAATTCCATGTCAAGTGACTCATGACTGCCTGTCATGCCAGCTCCAGGGGGTCAGGTTCCCTCTTCTGGCTTCTTCAGACACCCGCACTCAAACGCACAAACTCAAACACAGAGATCTGTGCATGCAAATAATTAAAAATTAAATCAGCTTAGACATCTTGGAGCAGAGATTACGGCTATGTCAGCATGCCTAATCAAACCCAGAACACTTTCTTAAATTTGAATTTCATGCAAACATCAAATGTATCTTCAGTACAGCCCATATAAACATTTGATTTAAATACAACTAAAAATTCTGTATTTTTATCTCTTAAATCGGGATACTCTGCAAAATAAAGGCAGCTCTTCGAGTATAAATAAGGTTGCAAAAGGAGAATTTGCAAGCTCAAGTCAGTACATAAAGTGTTCATGAGCCTCACTTATAGTGAGCACAGGAAGCTAATATTCCGTGTAAATATTCAAAGGGGTGTCTCCCCATCTTCTGAGCTGACTAGGCAACTGGGAGAAGGGGCCATATTAGAGGGTTTGCCATTATTAAGAAAAGCCTAGCTTTGGGAAGTTTTGTTCATTGGCACTAAACATCCGAGACACTGCTGTTTTTCTGGCTTTCCTAATTATGCCATGTACCTGAACATGGTCCTTTGTAGGATATTGGGGGCAGGGGACATCTAGGCTTTCAGAACAAGGACAGGATAAAGAACTAGATCCTTCTTTTGGCTCAGTAGGAATTGACCTATGATTTGGGAACTTCTCAAATAGGATAATAACAAATAGAGTTAAGTGCTTTACAATTTACAAGAATTGAACATGCACTTTGTTTATTTGTCCTCAAGACAAGATTGTCTAGGCAAACAAAGCAAGGGTTTCGTTTTCTGCAGTCTCTATACAAGACGACTGACTCTCAGAAAAACTGCTTCTGATATCCAGGGTCAGAGAGGGAACACAGTATGTCAGAACCAGGGTTCAGACTCAAGCTTTGGATCCTCTGTCACGTGATTACCAGCTCTGCCTACTTCCCGCCCCTTATTATATTCCCTAAATCGTTGTTTCTTTGGGTTTCCCATTTTTCTTTCAGTTTGAGTGTTTGAGTTTCATAATGGACAATTTCTAAGCAACTGAGCTTGGTAAAGACCCTTTGGAAGGATGTGTTCCCCTATACCTTTTCTTGCATCCTTCCCCACACCCTATCATTCCTGCTGAAGGGGGGGGCCTAAATCTTCATGGGGACTGTGAGGTAATCCAGTAACAGAGGTCTTGTCTAATGCATGCACCTCTCTGGGCTCAGTCTCCAACAGGGCAGCAGAAACAAGCAAACTTAATTAGTTAAATATTCATGGAGACCAGCTGCCACAGAATGGATTCATGACTCGGCTCCCAAAGAGCTCAGCGAGGAGACATCTGTGTTTTGCCAGGTTTGGCCAGTCTCCATGTTCACTCTTAGGCTCCTAAAGACTTCCCAGAGAAGCTGTTCCCTAGGAAGTGGGCGTGAAACTCGAGCCATCTCCAGTTCACTATCGCTTCTATGTGTGCAGAGATTCTAAGAATAATATGGAATTCCATGTGTCAGTCTTCACCTAATGACTCGCTTACTAAAATATAATCCTTTCAGACACCGAAACATATCATGGATATTGAAACTACGCTTAGTTCTGAAGACACCTGAAAAATGGCAAAACAGTGTCTTTGGTCATAAGATATCCAAATTCAAAAACATTAAGTTTGTGTGTGAAGACGCAAAGCAATCCAACCAGGGTTGTTCCTCACAGCCCTCTTCTCCCCATACAGAGAGCATTGTGGGCACAGACAATCCTTCCTCTAATCAGTCTACAAGCGGCAAGAGAATTGAATTCTGGGGTCACATAATCACTAGGGCCATCATAACCTTGCAAGCAGTTGAATTTTATCATGATGTTTGCTCTTTTCGTTGAGTCATGTGATGTTAGAGCAGAAGGAGTCTTGCCTGTATGTGAAAATTGGCTGAGAGACCTTAAGTGTGGAGCCTCTTTTGTTCTGGGAAAGCCAAAAAGGAGGCAGTTAGCCAGACTGCAGCCTTCAGCTGTAGAAAGGTAGGCACCGTGTGGTTCAAAGAAAATGAGAGGCTGGGACTGAAAGCCACCACGTGACTCTTCCTTCAGTGGGAGTCAGCGCACTTACTTTTAGCTCAGCTGTTCCCAGGAGTCGTTTGGGGAGCAGACACGGGAGATGGGTGTATGGAAATCATGATATTCTTACCAAATCCTTGCTTCTTCCTTCAACAGGTGGGCTGGCATTTGGCTGATAGGCTCAGCACACCCCTGTTCTGAAAGTAGACGAAGATTATTCATGCTTCTAAGAATGCTCTTTGCAGCCCTCTTCCTTCCTGTCATTTTAAACTTATCCCTACCCTGAAAATTCTTAGGTCGTTCTTCTCCACAGTGTTTTCCATAGCTCATCCAAAGCATAGCTCACGCCCCACTAGGAACATAACCAGAGGGATGCAGCGCAGTTCAGCGCCTTTACCCTGCTTCCCTCATCTCCTGACACTGAGGGGAAGGCCGGGTGAGGGAAGAGAGCGGCCATACAAGGGGAGCTCTCTGGGCAAAGCCCAGAATTTCTGTCTATTTCTGTGGGAGACTGAAGATCGGAGAATACACAGCAGAAGAACACGCCTCAGGAACAGGCTACAAAACTATCTGCATATTTTAAAGCATGAGACAACCTCTGTCAGACTGCAATCCTGGCTATGCAGGTGGCATGGTCAGAAGGAAAATGAGACACAAATCATTGTTTAGGTCTAAGAACATGCTTGGAAGTGTTAAAAAAAAATATGGATAGGAAGCTGGTTGTGGTGGTCCACCTCTGTAACGGCAGCACCTGCAATGTGGAGGCAGGAGGACTGGGAATCGGGGGCCTGGGCTCCAAAAGCAGGTCTAGAATCATGTTTAAAAGGGAGATGTTTGCTCACTTGGTATACTACTTGGCCTAGCATACATAGGACATCCAACTCCAGCAGCATGTAAACAAGGCAGAGTAGAGCAAACCAACAGTCCCAGCGCAGTAGAAGTTCAAGGTCATCCTCAACTATGTGGTCAGACTGAAGTCACCTTAGAAGGCCTCAGATCTGTTCTCTCAGACAAACGGAAGTGACGTGGAAAGATTTCTAGCATCCCTTGCATTCACCACACTCTGGTTTTCCCAAGGGTTTCCTTCATGATCCGCTCAATCATCCTCAGAAGCAGGCGAGGTGTCTCATTTGACCTGAGACTGGATTGTCTTCAAATCTATCAGAGGCATGAGCCTTGGTCCCTGCCCTGCATTTCTTTCCACCGTGACACATTCATTATCTACAAATAGCACTAACAAGTTGGTGTAACTGAGGCAAGACGGGCTGCCATGCATACAGTAACAAACAGAAATCCACACAACCAACTCTGAATGCCTCCTTACGGAAGTGTAGGAACTCTGTATGTAACTCCATGTCACACTATAGTGTCAAAGCAAGGACAGGAATCGTCACCCTGGGAATTCAACAGAATGGCTTAAAATGGGCCATTTCTCCAAACTGGGAGCAAATGGGCTCTAACACATTGAAATTCCAACATGAAACAGCAGATAATCCACTTAAGTACTTTTGAGTTCCTTAATGTACATGTGCGGTTACTAAGAGCTTCAAAGCCTTTTTTTTTTTTCCTACAATAATTCCCTTTCTTCAAGAATGTACTCGGGGTCATTCATGTGTCTGCTAACTTTCCAAGTGGAGCCATCTTTATCAGGTGGCAAGCACCTAGACGATAGACTGGATTAATATTACACATCATTTTGGGGTTAAAAATTAGATTAAGAAATAAAATGGCTTACAATTCTAACTCTGTGAAGTCAAAGAAAATTGACGACCTACTATGCTTTGTCAAAATGTTGGAAGATGGAGCCTAAAGGTATGATTCAGTAGTACAGCACCCGCCGAGCATGGGTGAGATCCTGGGCTGTTACAATACATGCCTAGCACATGTGAGATTCTGGGCTGGCACATGGGAAGAGATTCAATGTGGAAAATCTAGTGTATGGATATCTATACAAGAATGATAAAAGAAATCACAATATTAAAATGTCCAGAGTTGAATGCCATGGCACATGCCTGTGGAAATCAGAGGCAGGAAGTTCAGAAGTATGAAACCAGCCTGGGCTATACAGTGAATTCAAGGCCAGCCTCTGCTACACAATAGGATCCTGTCTTTAGAAGAAAAAAAAGCCTCCATAAATCTCTTAAGGTAGATGAAAACAATTGGTCCTATTGGGATTCACTGGCCCTCTTTTTTTTTTAAAAGTATTTAATTAATGCATTTAATTATGTTGAAAATTCATACAGTATATTTTGATCATAGTTTCCCCTTCCCATCTCTTCCAAGATCCTCCTCACCACCCCCATCTGTCTAACTCCACCCCTTCTTTCTCTCTCTTTAGAAAACAAATAAGCAAATAAACCAGAAAAAAAACAAAAACAAAAACAAAAGATATTAGAAACACACATCTAAACATAAAAATGCAAAACTGGAAACAATAGTATACAAACAAAATTCCAGTGGGATGAAACTTGCCAAGCAAACCAATATGAGACCAAAAAAAAAAATCTACAAAAACACCAATGAGTGCTGGTCACCTACTGCTGGGTATGGGGTGGCCCTTAAGTGCGGCTTATCAACCCTGTGAGACTGATTATTCACTTGCAAACGGTTGTGCATTAGAGATAGCTTCTTGATTAGGAATGGGAGCTCATGTCCACTTCCCCTGTTCAGTTCTGGGACCCTACATGGCTCGAACCTAGGCAGGCCCTGTGCATGCTGCTACAGTCTCTGTGAGATCATGTGTGTGTCAGCCCTGCTGTGTTTGGAAGACGCTGTTTCCTTGGCGTCACCCATCCCTCTGTATTTATTTTTATTTATGTACATGTATGTATCTGCGGAAGCCACAGGGGAGTGTCAGATCACCTGGCGCTGGAACTGGAACTGAAGTTATAGACAAGTGTGAACTCACCTGACATGAGAGCTGGGAACTAAACTCGGGTCCTGGGCAAGGACAGAAGTGTCCTTAACCACTGAGTCATATCTCCAGGCCAACTGCTCCACCTTTTCAATAGGAAATTCTGAAGCACACTCAAGAAACAATACATAGCAAAACCCTACTAACACAGTAACATTTTTGGAGTTAAGAACCCCATAGCTACTTAGTATCCATAAGACATTCTGAAATGCCTTATGCTCCTATGGTTTTCTTTGTAACAAGTGAAGAGGAAAAATGGGAGCTAGAAGAACAGGAAAAGAAGCAACAAAAGATATAAATGAAGCATAAGAGTAAGGAAGAGAAAAGAGAATAACTCAAAGTACAGGACTCTACATATATAAAGGAAAGAAAACGCAGGCTAGGGAGATGGCTCAGTGGGTAGGAGCGTTTGGCATGCAGCATGAGGACCTGCGTTCTCAGAAGTTCACAGAAGCCACGTGAAGCTGGGTGTGCAACCCTAGTATCTGCTATCCCAGCACTCCCACAGGGAAATGGGCAGTAGAGACCAGAGGCTCCCACAATCTCTCAGCCACATGATCTAGTGCACACAGCAGAAAAACAACGAAGAGACACATCTCAAGAAAGGCAGAAGGTGAGGATGGACACCTAAGGTTGTCCTCTGACCATTACACACACACACACACACACACACACACACACACACACACGTATACATGTGTACAAAGAGAGAGGGGAGAAAGAATTCAGAAGACCTAACCCAAACTAAGTTCTCACAGTCTAATAAGCTATGGCCTCAAGATCTTTAATCATTGTGCTTTGAGATGTTAATTAGATGCTGGGTCTCTATGTAAAACAGTCCCTACCTGGTTATTTTTCTCAGGTACAAAACCTGTTACTAATAAGAGCTGTCAAGTTTAGAGGACATCAGGGGGTTGCTTCTCCATGCTGGACTTTCATTCATGCAAAGTCATAGATAAAGGTCAGACCAAACCAAGTCTGCCCAAACTAGGCAAAGAGCATTTCCTGCTCCAAGAGCTGTGAGCTCCAAATGCACAGAGTCTTCTACGCAAAGAGGGACACCCTACACTGCTCTCCAACTTTAATCTTCTCTACATACCACCCCAAATCCAGAGTACTGAGTTAGAACTAGGAACTTCCCCTTTGCATTTTCTATATTTTGAATGGATTCAGATTTCTCACATAGCCTTTCCTGACCTTTGTGTCGCTACACTGAAATTCTGGACCTCTTTTATCTTCTTAGCAATGTCTACATACTATACAATTGTTACAGTAACCATGAAGTAGCTATGACTGCTGCAAGCATTCCACATATTTGTAAACAAAGACCCAGGAAGGTTAAGTAATCTGGCCAAGGTCCCAGAGTAATTGGCATAGCCAAAGTCAGAGCTTGGACTGTGGACTCCAAAACTCAGTCACTAGATCCGCTTCTCACTTCTTCCTGATGTCGTCCTCCTTCTTGCCTTTCTGCTGACCTTTAATCAGACTGGGTCATCTGTCTGTCCTGTAATGACATCTGTCTGTTCTTCAGCGTCTTCATGAAACTCTCTTCCTGAAGGAAGTTAGCTCATGATCTTTTTCTGCCAAGTGATATTAGCCAAAAAAATCTACATACCTGACAAAGGCTTTCCCGAATTGCTTCTCAAGTCAACGTTGACCACATGAGAAATATTTGTTCTTACAAGGAGTACTGTGCGGCCTGTTCTCTTCCCATTTGGGGTCTGCATTAGTGTGCCTACCTGTAGGATAAAGCTTTGAGATTCTCTACTGTAGCGTCTGCTTTGTCCTGCAAAGAAAATGCCACACCGGACTCTTCCCAGTGCAGTTAAATCAGGAACCTTGAATAATCTTCTCACCCCGGGGAAAGCCAGCCCACAACTAAAATAGCCTCTGGGTAGCCAACCCCAGCATGCTACGTGGGAAATGCAGATAGGTCCAGAAACGCGGAAGCAAGCCAGATCCTTAGTCTTAGCCATGTATGGAGTTTTTTACAACCGAGCGAGCGCCCTCACCATTGGGGGGGGGGGGGAGGCAGAAGCCAGCGCCATCTTTAAGGTGCGGCACAAAGCAGCTCACTACACTCTACCAAGCTTATGTAGCATGTAAGAGAATTACTCAAGCGAATACAAACCGGGTGGTTAAAAAGAGCAAAGTTCAGCTCGCTAAGGTGTGCCAACTAGATGGAATCTTTATCCAAATGGTGGTAACCCATACAAATGCGCCTCAGACAGTGGCAAGTAGGGAGAACTCAGGTTTTGTCATACTGCTAAAATCTAAATGTGCCTGAGGCTGTTGAACAAAATTAACTCAAAGTATTCGTATTCCTAGAGAACCTTCATAAAGCCTTTCTGGAATAGGAAGATCATTCTCTATCATTCTGAGAGCCACCATTGCACGTGCAGTGGCCAGGGAAACAGAGAGGATTTGCTAACGTGGCCTCCTTCTCCTTTCCAGATCCTGGCCATCGTGTCCATCCTGTTCATAGTGCTGTCCACCATTGCTCTGTCTCTCAACACACTCCCGGAGCTGCAGGAAAACGATGAATTTGGACAACCCAGTGACAACCGCAAGCTGGCGCACGTCGAGGCTGTGTGCATTGCTTGGTTTACCATGGAGTACCTCTTACGATTCCTGTCCTCACCAAATAAATGGAAGTTCTTCAAGGGCCCACTGAATGTCATTGACCTGCTGGCCATCTTACCGTATTATGTCACCATCTTCCTCACCGAGTCCAACAAAAGTGTGCTGCAGTTCCAGAACGTGAGACGTGTGGTCCAGATCTTCCGAATCATGCGCATCCTCCGGATCCTGAAACTCGCCAGACACTCGACTGGACTGCAGTCTCTGGGCTTCACCCTCAGACGGAGTTACAATGAGCTGGGCTTATTAATATTATTTCTAGCTATGGGGATAATGATATTTTCCAGTTTGGTGTTTTTTGCTGAGAAAGATGAAGATGCTACCAAATTCACCAGTATCCCTGCGTCATTTTGGTGGGCCACCATCACCATGACCACTGTGGGCTATGGTGACATCTACCCTAAAACACTGTTAGGGAAAATTGTGGGTGGCCTCTGCTGTATTGCAGGAGTCCTGGTTATTGCCCTTCCTATACCTATCATTGTAAACAATTTCTCTGAGTTCTATAAGGAGCAAAAACGCCAGGAGAAAGCTATTAAAAGGAGAGAGGCTCTTGAAAGAGCCAAAAGGAATGGCAGCATTGTTTCTATGAACTTAAAGGATGCCTTTGCTCGAAGTATGGAACTGATAGATGTGGCGGTAGAGAAGGCTGGAGAGTCGGCCAATACCAAGGACTCCGTGGATGATAATCACCTATCTCCCAGCCGGTGGAAGTGGGCCCGGAAGGCTCTGTCGGAAACAAGCTCCAATAAGTCCTATGAGAGTAAGTACCAGGAGGTGAGCCAAAAAGACTCCCACGAACAGCTGAACAACACTTCTTCCTCCAGCCCACAGCATCTGAGTGCCCAGAAGCTGGAGATGCTATACAATGAAATCACCAAGACACAGCCTCATTCCCACCCAAACCCGGACTGCCAAGAACAGCCCGAGAGGCCATCTGCATATGAGGAGGAGATAGAAATGGAAGAGGTGGCCTGCCCACAGGAGCAGCTGGCGGTGGCACAGACTGAGGTCATCGTGGACATGAAGAGCACCTCCAGCATCGACAGCTTCACCAGCTGTGCCACAGACTTCACCGAGACGGAGAGGTCGCCCCTGCCACCCCCCTCTGCTTCTCACTTGCAGATGAAGTTCCCCACTGACCTCCCAGGGACAGAGGAGCACCAAAGAGTCAGGGTGCTTCCATTTCTAACACTAAGCAGAAATAAGGGGCCCGCTGCCAGGGAGGCCACACTGGATTATGCCCCAATTGATATAACTGTGAACCTCGATGCTGGGACGTCACATGGTCCTTTGCAATCTGACAATGCCGCCGAGAGCCCTAAGAGCTCGCTGAAAGGGAGCAACCCCCTCAAGTCCAGATCCCTCAAAGTGAACTTTCAGGAAAACAGAGGCAGTGCACCCCAGACCCCGCCCAGCACAGCCAGGCCACTGCCAGTAACCACAGCAGACTTTCCTCTCACGACCCCTCAGCACATCAGTACTATCCTTCTAGAAGAATCCCTGCCCCAGGGAGAGAGACCCTTGCTGGGTGCTGATGCTTCCGCACACTGTCAGGGACCTTCCAAAGGGCTATCCCCGCGATTTCCCAAGCAAAAACTGTTTACTTTCTCACCTAGAGAAAGGAGGAGCTTCACCGAGATAGACACTGGAGAAGACGAAGACTTCTTGGACCTCCAAAGGTCAAGACCAGACAAGCAAACAGACTCCAGTCCCAACTGCTTAGCAAAGGAGCCCGGCGATGCCAGAGACCCATTAAGAGAAGAGGGCTGTGTGGGTTCCTCCTCCCCTCTGAACACAGACCACAACTGTAGGCAAGACAATTACCAGGCTGTGGGTGAAGTCAAAAAGGACAGTAGTCAAGAAGGGTACAAGATGGAGAACCACTTGTTTGCCCCAGAAATTCATTCCAACCCAGGAGACACGGGTTACTGTCCCACTCGTGAGACCAGCATGTGACTAGTTATAAAAGCAATAAAAAAAAAACCCTTGTTTCTAATGCGATTAGTAATGCCATGAACTAGAATATGGGAAACCCCTCGCCTAAAAAAAAAAACAGTGCATAAAGTGTTATTTTTGCATGGCATGAACAGTTTAGTTTAAGTACTGTTTAAATAATGAGTCAAGACTGCATTTTGTAACAAACAGAACCGAGTCCAGTACAGCGAGCCAATAAAGAGCCCTGTTAGGAACCAGTGCTCTGCGATGCCTGACATTTTTGATCCTTTCGTTTCGAACTGTAGGCAAATTTTCCAGCTATAACTTTTACATTACCATGAATTTTAGGGCGCACACATGAAAGGATGAAATGTCATTGCATGTGTCCATGCTTTATGGGGCGTAAGGTGCTTTGAGCTTGCAAAATGCATAACTTTGTAAATAGGCCTGGGTGCAAAAGTGTCGAGAGCATACGGACACGAGTTTCCGAGAGGCAGGCATTTCCTTCCCAGCTACAGCCTGGAGGAGCTGTCCAGACTTCCTGTTGCAAATCTGCGACCTCTTCTTAACACACTTTTTGCATCTTGCTTTTGATTATAAAGCTCTTATGTTTGTTTAAAGGAATACAGTATTTTTATTTATTTGGGAGATAATTCAGAGGGTATGTTTATATGTATTTTTATTTATTTGGAATACAATTCAGAGGGCATCTTTTTCTTTTGCTTAGTTGTTGCATCTGTGCTGTTAAGTATAAACCATGGAAATTGTAAGATTTAATGACCAGATATTAAGCATTTGGAATTTAAGCTTGAATGGTTTACCTATAAATTAAATACCATGTCACAGACTATTACAGAAATTCAGTTTTCATAAGCTTGAAAATGGATAGAAGATTCTATTATAAAATAAAAAAATCCAAATTGGTATTTCACATTTGGAAATCATCTTTAAAACAAATTTCTTTTAAAAAAAAAATTCTGTTGGCACTGCAAACATGGCTGTGTTTTCCTCTGGTGTCCAACATACAAGTTAAGATTTGTCGAAATGGAAATTCCATAAAATGACTCTTGATAAACTAAAAGTAGAGCCCCCTTAATTGACATAGTTGGCCCCCAAATGAGTCATTATGTTGGAGCCCAGGTCTGGAAATGGACCACTAAATACTTTTCAGTATAGGATACAGGTATAGGCTGACACTACCAGTCGCAGAAGGATGTTGTTCTTGCAGGCTTTGACCCTTCCCAAGCATGGTCAGAGCACTCTCAGTAACTGCAGCAACTTGACAGGCTCTCTCAGGTTTCCAGCCCCAGAACTCCTTAGAAAAGGTCAGCACTTTCCTTGCTAAAAGTCATTTCTGAACTTTTCTTACAGAGCACGTTGGATGCAAAGACACTGGACACTTGCCTTGCTTTGTGGACATCAAGGTTCTAGTTACTGAGGAGCAACTGCCAGCCATGCAGTGGCCAGAATGACTCTACAAGCCCTACTGATATCACCTGTACCCAAATAAAAGCAACAACCAAATTATTTCTAGGTCCCCTTAAGATTTCAAATCAATGATTTCTTGTTTCCTGGCAACATGCAGATTTTGCCTCAGCAAAATGCATTCTGTGCATGTGTGCTCATGTGTGCATACAGTTCAGGGAATTGGGGGAACTACCAGGACAAACTAAAGACAAAGCTTATTGTTTAAGGAAAAAACTCTAAATTTTGTTCTTTTTTTAAAACAAAAACCATTCAGGAAAAAAAATAGCCCAAATATTTAAAATCTAATATAAGTCTTTAATATTTCTAAATTGATAGCTTCTGGTCATTAAATCTCAAATAAAAAAATGAGTTTTGATTTTTGTTAATGTCCAGGCAGTCCTGATATCAAAATTAATTTAAAACATTTCTTTGATCCCACTGTGCTTAGAATTTCTTAATGGTTTTCATGTTTGTTTCAAAACATAACCTTTAAGAGTGTATAGTCATTATTCATTGATATTTTTATTATGCCTACTTCTTTTTGTGTCTAAAGACTATATGTTGATCAGTTTTTGTAAATCTAGAGTATTTGAATTTTCTATATATAGTTTTTCAAAGTCAAGCAGGTGTATCTATTGTTAGATGAATAGCAAATAAGCTACAAAGATTGTCTTATTCATACAGCCTCATGAAGCAGTTGTTTTCTAATGGCTCCTATCGATGAATCTCTGTTTGTTTTTTATTCATCTGGCTTCATAAGTGGACTTATTGCCCTGCCATACGACCAGTGTCCGACTCTCCGTGTGTCTGCCAGGCTTTCTGCTGAGAACCCTGTTCCATCTGCTTACGATCGGGACCCTTCCCCAGTCTAAAAGTCTCTGCTGTTTTCCTAAAGAGTCTTTCCCTGTCATTCTAAAGGGTTCATAGGAAGATCTCTGTCTGTTTTGTTTTTAAGTTTTAATGAATTTAAAAAAAAAAAAATCCCGTGGAGGTCTCATCCCTTGAGGTCTCTTAATTCCTCCGAAGTCTTCAGCTGGGAGAAACAAAAGTAAAGTTCCCTCCAGGAGATCTTTGACTTTGCTGTTTCACGTGAGGGTATTTCCCAGAATACACCTGTGAAGCCCTTCTACACTTCAGCAAAGGGTGCCTAACTCAGAGGAGACCGTGTCTGTCTGGAAAGACCTGGATCCACCTATCGAGTGCAGAGTTCTTCTGAAGTCTTTTATGTTCTACATTAAAGTTCATGTCCATGCTGCAGCTTACTCCATGACATATCTGTTTCAGTATTTTTTAAATGCTGTTTTATATTATTAATCAACAGTAAAACTAAGAGTCTTATGACTTCAAATACCTCTTTTGTATCCCTTGGAAAATGCCACCCAAGTGTAAGAAGGACTGCCTGAATGGAAACCTACTGGAAGGCTGTGCTTCCGAGAGTTTCACCATTAGCTAGCTCAGTGACCAGGAATCAATGCCAATGAAAGAGACTGTTTGAATGGTCTCGAAATAGCATGATCCCTCAAACAGCTAAGCTGTTTCTGCTGGCTTTCTTAACCAGCATGAATTGCCACAAGATGTTTTTATCTCAAAGATAAGAGCATAGAAATACACCTGCACTGAGTGTTGGGAGGGAGAGCAGTGGTAAGTGCCTGCCTGGCATGCACGATACCCTCTTTAATCCCCGCCACTGCAGAAGACGAAAGAAAAGGGGAAGAAAGGAAGAAATGCACTATATATGTAGGTCCATACGTATACCAAGTGGGTCCCTGAAATTGACTTAATTATTCTCTAAACATTTCACGACAAAGTCCCTCCGTCCGATACAATCGACTGCTCTGATACAAGATGTGATCAAGCACTCTCATGATAAGATTAGATCTGATAGTGACTGTGTGCCCAGCGTCTGTTCCCGTATTCTCTTGCTAATATTTTTACTCTCAAGCTGGCTATGAAAATGTAACCATTTATTTTCTCTTGAAATTAGAAAGACAGGGGAAAAAACACCTTAGGAATGTAGACTATTTCACAGTTCCTTCTCAACAGCCTTCAGAATTACCAGTAAAGGACAAGAGAAGCCTGTTCTTTGTCCAGTTCCACACAGGTCACTGGTAAGTGGTGGACCCTGACCTCAAGAACATCAGCTAACCTTCAGTCTGGCACAACAGTATATCACTAGAAAGATACCAACCAGTTGCTTCTATCATTGCCTAAAATTATGTAAATAAACAGGAACCATATTGATGACGTGAAGGGATTTTAAAGGAGCAGGAAAGTCTGTGAGGGAATAAGGCTCTGAGAATCATTAGGAACCAAGTTAGGCATTATATTTGCCAGCTGAAAATTCTGGCCATGTTATACACATCCCTTAGCTAAGGAGAAAGCCCCATTGTTTGCAATGAGATATGATGCACGCATGAGGCAGAAGGTTGCAAAAAGCCTCTTGATCTTCCTAGCCAAAATCAGACAGCGCTAAAATTACCTCCAATCAAAGGCAAAGCACAGCATTTATGGAACTTAGTCACCATTTTACTGTTTATCATTCAGATGATTCGAGAGGAACCCTTCCTCTTCCATGCTGGTCACAGTAGCCTGAGGGGGGCACAACTCTCAGCCTCATGGAACTTCCTGCCGCTTTTGGCTACATCACCCATACGAAGGTGAAGATACTTGAGGTTACTGCCAAAAGGTCAACTATCAGGCTGAAAAACATCACCCAATGATCTCATCAGAGAACTATAGAACATAAATAAATTACATTACTCTCCCAAAGAACCATTTTCCTAAGAAATAGATGAATTGTATAAAGCCAAATTTATAATTATGTTTGAATCATGTTTAGTTTTTGTAGTGGAAATGACAAATTGTTGATCTGATTGAATGAGGTTGCAAACCATCTTTTGGTCTGGTAAATTAAAAAATAATGCTTTGTGGTTGGGAATGTACCTCTGTGGTAGAGCACTCACCTGCACGAGGCCCTGGGTTCCAACCCCCGAATCAAAAAGAAAAAGAAATGTCTTTTTAGTTAGATATATTTCTCACCAAAATAACTAATAATAGTCTGTCAAAAGTAACTAGAGCAAAATTTAATACTAGTGGGAAAGGATTTAAAATTTTTACATTTATGGATAAATATTAAAATGGAGCATTTTAGTGCTTTTCTTCCTGCAGTCTCTTGGCAATGCTACAGGAATATAATATTATTCTCTACTTAATCCTCTAAATTCCTAAAATTAAAAAGTCAACGTTCAAACACCCCTTGGCTTGACACAAAGAATTTAATCACTAGGTCCATGGAGATTTGAAAGTATATTAGTTATTTTGCAATTGCAATGTCTTCCTCAAAGTAATATAAAAAAAATAAATAAAAAGAAAATAAAAGAAAACACATAAGAGAAAAGAGAAAGGGGTTTGGTGGCACACGCCTTTCTTCTAGCACTTGGGAGGGTGAGACGGACAGATTCAGAGTCTAAGCACAGCTGCGGTGACATAGTGAAGTTCAGGTTAGCCTGGATAATCTAGTAAGACCCTGCACCAAAGGGCGGGGTGGGCAAGGAGGAAGAGGAGGAAGAGGAGGACGGTGAGCGGCAGCAGCAGTAGCAGCAGCAGCAGCAGCAGCAGCCAGACATAGTGGTGCGCACCCGAGTCCCTACACAGGAGACAGAGGCAAGCTAAGCTTGAGTTCAAGGCCGGCCTCGCCTACCTGTCAAATTCCAGTCCAGTCAGAGCTACACAGTGTGATACTGACTTTAAGGGGGGTGGGGGGGACTCAAAAGAAACTCTGAGATGGACATAATTTAAATGCCAGTTTCCACTAAGAGGAGGAAGGCCTGGGCTCGGCAGTTCTGGTGAGCAGCCTGTCCACATTAGTTAGCACTGTGACCTGCTGCAATCCTTTGGTGGTTTCACCACTCATTTCTTCTGCTTGCCTTTGTAAAATATCCTGATTCAAACCCAAGAATCCTTACTTACTGCTGCCATTAACATACATTACCTTCCTTAGTAAGTCTAAAAGCTTATTATATATATATATATATATACATATATATATATATGGAGAGAGAGAGGTATAATAAATTATTTCAAAGCCAGAAAAAGGCAAAAACACAAGTTTATTTAAAATATATTAGTGTATTCTTAATTTGTTTTACACACCTGCATAAATGTACTTATACAAATATATATATATATGAAATTTCATATATATATTTGAAATTTGGATGCCTAGGAGATACATGAAGAGCAGAATCCTTTACTTCCTTTTCTAAAGAAGATATTTCTTATCATCAACAATTCCAGTTTACTGTTGGAACATAACAAAACTTTTCCAAGTATCTATAATTGCCTGAAGCTGACAAATACATACAGTCCAGGCAGCTTCAGTCCACAGCCTAGCAGATGCTTCATGCTTAAGTGCTTGTGTTCCCGTGTGAAATCCAGTTTCACAGAGTGGGCTAAAAGAGCAGGACAAGATAGCTGAGTCTGCTGTCTGAGGTGGCCAGAGTCCTTTCCTGTCCTGACTCTGCTGTCTGAGATGGCCAGAGTCCTTTCCTGTCCTGACTCTGCTGTCTGAGATGGCCAGAGTCCTTTCCTGTCCTGACTCTGCTGTCTGAGGTCGCCAGAGTCCTTTCCTGTCCCCTTAGATCCAAGGTGTTCATTTTCATTCTTTAATCTAGTATCCGAATTCTGCCACATAATTTCTAAACACTCTGGCTTAAAATTACAATAGCTGCTTGATATTAGTGACAGTGATTGAAGATATTTCCACTTTGAAAGAGAAAAAGAAAGATGAATGAAAGAAAATATATAAGCCAAAATTGTGTTTATTCATAAAAATTACTTTAAAAAAATAGGAACTCTCCCTAGGTGGCCCAGGTTGTCCTCGGTCACAGCCCTCTTGTTTCCACTGGCTATGAAGTGATCATTTTTAACAACTCTTTCGTATTTCCAACCCTAGCCTCTATTTAAGCCAATACAACCAACTGCTTGGTAAAAGCCTACTGCTGCTCTGAGTCCATTCACAGTGGGACCTGCTGACAAAGATGTGGCAGGATGGGTTTTCTTAGAGTTATTTTTCATGTTATTGAATCTGAGACAGATTTGAGCTGGCATGTTGAGTCAAAACAGCAGCCTTTGAGAACACAGACCCAAAGCGCTGACAGCCTGAGGTGGAGGCTCAAAGGTGGATCATAATGTCCACCCGTATGTGTTTATTCTCTGCCTGAAATGCCTTCTGTGCTCAATGCAAGAACAGGTGAATTCCCTGAGAATTTGTACATAGATGTGACGGTCAGGGTCAAATCCCATTCCTGTCCCTGCAACCCCTCCCCTATATCCCCACCACAGTTCTTCCCAATTCCATATGTTCTGCAAAAGGTGGGATCCTATTTCCACAGAAAAGGTGGTTGACAGGCAGGAGTGAGGATAAGTTCTCAGCCATTTATTATGTCCATGTTTCCTGCATGCGGTCAGAAATGACTGGGCTCCAGACATTTCTGTGATCACGTCTCCTCTTTCTTTCCGTTGTCCCTTTGTGTTTTCTCCCCTCTGCACAACACTTTCAGGGCACCTCAGCTGCTGCCTATAAAACACACACACACACACACACACACACACACACACACACACGCACACTCAAATTGCTAAATCTTCGTCCGTGTGCTAGATCTGTACTGTAGATACACAGTGTGTGTCACTTTGACTTTCTTGCCACTGTGGGAAGCTAGGCAAGAACTCAAAATGGCAAGGGGGCAGAACAGGGATGGTCACAATCATGGTATAAAACGATGCTGTCTTTTTGGCTTGCTCAGCAGCTCCGACTCTGATAACTTCAGCTTGGAGACTCTGACCAGAGCATGACACAGCTCCTGCCTTGGCCCTGATAGAGAAAGGAGTACTTCTACACTCCCCATAAACATCAGTTAGTAATGGCCAGGAAGTCTGCTGGAGCCAAATTGCTCACCCATCCTTAAGGCAAAATGCAGCCAACATTTTTATTTGCAGCATATGGCTAGACTTTTATTTATTTATTTTGCTAGCAAGTTTTATGCAAATCACTATATTTGAATAAAATTCTGAGTATTTTTTTAAGAAAAACAGACATAAAAATATTACTAATATAGCTCAAATTACTTGCTCAACGGGAATCCTGTCACCAGAAATAATTGATAAAAATGTATATACTACTAAAATGTCAGTGAAAAATTATCAAAATTCTTTCTATTCAGCTCAAAAACAAAGAAAGAAAAAAGAAAAATCTGCAACTCAGAAAACATTAGGTTTATCACACAATAATCAAGTTCCAAACTTATGCAATTTTAAAGAGGTGTATATTAAACCATAAAAATTTTAAAAGTGATGTGTAGAAAGGGTCTATTAAGCAAATATGAGGTGCCATTAGCAGGCGGAAGCATTTTAACAGCCTTTAATTTAGCTACATAATAGCTATGTATGCTCTTAGCACCTTGCTTTCAGTGAAATATTTTATTTTCTACTGTTGTTTATATGTTGTTTGCTTGCTTGTTTTGTTTCTTACTGGTACTGTGTGTTTGTTTTGTTTGGTTTGAAGAAGGGAATAGTCATTGGAAAAAGGGGGGCTTAAAGGGAGAGATTATTAGGCAATTTATTATTACAGCTATACCTGGAGTGTGTTGGAAACCGTACGACCTTCACTGTCCTGGCTTCCCCCACTCTGCTTTGCAGCCTTCACTGGTTTGAAAGGGCAGTGATCACACTTCACATTCTTCTCCCTCCAGCTTTTCATTCCTCTCCTGTCTATAGTACATGCCAGGAGTCCTTCCCTAGGGCCCACCTGCTGAGAGCGTAGGTACCAAGTCACAAGCAGGAGCAGGTGAACCATCAGCAGTAACAACTTGAAGCCTAAAGCCAGAAGGAGGGTATCAGAAAACTTAGAGGCCAAAGGTCCCAGCACAGAAGAATAACATAATTTGTCATTGATCTTTCCCTGGGAGTGACCAAAAATACAGTTTGGCTAGTGGTACTGTGGGTCAAAGCCAGACCATCACTCCTGCCTGAGATGCACTCATAGACCAAACAGTGTATTTAAGTTTCTACCAAGTTGGAAAACTTGAAAGGAAATAGCTGATTTTTTGAGAAATATGGGACCAAATTCATTAATGGATCCCAAGGCAACCACCTCCAAATGCAAGACTTTCTACTAACTGTGTGTGAAGCTCATGAGTGTTTCTGTGTCGAGGGCAATATCCGAAGAGGAAGATACCCATATTATCCTTTTAGTTTTCTGTAGCAACAGCCATCAGTCAGGGAAAACTGACATTCTGGTAAGTTTTCATATAGTTAGGGCGCAAAATTCTAATAGCCATTCAAATCCAACCTTAGCAAAAGATACTACGGTGGAAAGAAAGCCATACTGAAAAGGTCAGACTTTATCATACATCTAATGATAAACAATTCATATTTGGATTGGGGTTTTCAATTTTTTTCTTTATGTAAAAAGCATCTTTAGGTTACCATGTGAAATGAATATTACTTATTTTATTACAAATATGTAGATTTTTAAAAAGACTATTATAACTGAAATGAGATAGAATATAGGAAAATGCCAAGCATACTGCTGGACCAATAAAAGGTATGTGTCTTAAAATAAGAATTCCAAAGGAAATGGTTCAAGTCACATTTGTGTCCTCAATACTGAGTTCTCAAATTCTTCTGTAGCTTCCCGAACAGCCAAAAATTCTAATGTGTGTTTAAGTAAAACCCACTGTTATATAAAATATAGGTCATTTTATTTGCTACGCTCTGTACATATAGGTGCCCTCTGTGGCTTTCAAAGATATTATTTTAACAAATAACATACTATGAATATTAGCAGAACATTTTCAACCTAATTGCCTTAAATTTTTAGTGTTCAGTTTGCAAGTCTCAGTTTCTCCTTGAGGGAAACAGCTTCTTACAATGATTTCAATACACTGTCTGTTTGGGGAGGGTTTTGTATCTTTTTCTGTTACCACATATTTACCCTTGTATCATAATCATGGGAACATTCAACATGGTAGTCCATCTCCCTGCTTCAAATATTTGCAAACCTGTGGACCCATTTCATGATGTGATTCATAGTCAATTTGGCTCCACAGTTGATGTAACTGGCCCCTTGTCAACTATATTATGAGTACAAAGGTTTTGTCACTAAACAAAATTTTTCCTCATTACATTTTTTGTCCTGAAAAATCTAGAGTATAAATTGTCATCAGTAGATCTCACTGGAGACTTTGTTTTGCTTTATTTTAATGCTATACTTACTGATCAAGAAAGGTGATTCGGGGGAGCTAATTTTTCATGTCAGTATATTTAAAATTTGGGGTAATGAAATTGAGATGAACCCCCATATCTTGTGATGA